GTCGACTTCTTTCCACGTACCCGATGGTGCTCTCGGCTGCGTCGGTGATGACTGCTTTTACTGTACTCCAGCAGTCCTCTAGAGGGGGCACATCAAGCTCGCCCTCCTCTGGCAACGCTGCCTCGATATTCTGCGCGTATGCTAACGCGATATCCGGTTGCTTCAATCGTTCTAGGTTGTACCGTGGCGGGCGTCGGTACCGTACATTGTTGATGACGGAAAGTTTTGGGCGCAGTTTGACCATCACCAGGTAGTGGTCAGAGTCGATGTTAGCGCCACGATAGGTCCTGACGTCGATAATGTCGGAGAAGTGCCGTCCATCAATCAGAACGTGGTCGATTTGCGATTCCGTCTGCTGTGGTGATCTCCAGGTGTAACGATAGGGAAGGTGGTGTTGGAAGAAGGTGCTACGTATGGCCATGTTCTTGGAGACGGCGAAATCGATGAGTCGTAGGCCGTTCCCGTTCGTCAGCTGGTGGGCGCTGAACTTTCCAATCGTCGGTCTGAATTCCTCCTCCTAGCCTACCTGAGCGTTTAGGTCTCCTATGATGATCTTGACGTCGTGGCTTGGGCAGTGATCGTACTCGCGGTCGAGCTGCGCGTAGAATGCGTCCTTGTCATCATCAGTGCTTCCGGAGTGAGGGCTGTGCACGTTGATTATGCTAAAGTTGAAGAATCGGCCCTTGATCCTCAACCTGCACATTCTTTCGTCGATCGGCCACCAACCGATCACGCGCTTCTGCATTTCGCCCATCACGATGAAAGCTGTGCCGATGAATACCTCTGTCACTCGACGCTCGCACCAAAAAATAAACAAAAAAAAACATTTAAAATTAGTTTTACATTACATCTAAACCGTATATTTGAAAGGCTAACATTTTTTTCTTAGCCTTCGCTTTAGCCTTATAATTCTTTGAAGCCGTGATTTTTGCCACAAATGTTGACTTTATTATGTGTAACGCTCGGGTTATCAACAAGACATTTCGCGCATAAGTTTTTGTATCCTTTCAAGGAAGAACATTGGTAATAATGTAGATGATTACGATCAAAGCAATTGATTTTTAGGTATTGTTAAGTTCCGGATAAACCATCAAGCGGAATACCATATACGTAACAGTTCTTATAAAAAAACGTTCTGTTTTCGATAGTTCCTCATTATTCAAATATTACATGGCAGAACAGGAAACCCAAATTGATATGAAAATACCTACTTGGTGAATTTAAACTCAGTTTTCTCAACAATTGTGCGTGCTTCAAAAAATCCAACTAGAGGTATGGATTCAGGAAGGTCTATTCAACAAAATCCAAGCCTAATATTCAAAGGAATGAGCCAAAATCCATCTTGGCTGAACATAAAAACCAAACTAATATACGTAGTTTTGTCAATTTAAACCTGGCTTTGTGTGTGCTTAAAAAAATAACCATCACATATGAATTCAAAGGACAGTATCAAAATCCAAATTAGCAGAAAAGGAAAACCAAATTTCGAAAAAAAAAATACTTTTCGAATTACAAACCCGGTTCAACCTTCACGTATGGATTCAGCAAGGACCATTCTATCAAATACAAGCCTATTTTTCAAAGATATGAGTCGAAATGCAATTTGGCAGAACTGAAAAACCAAATTTCTATGAAAATACGTATGGATTCAGCAATTCTTTAAAATCCAAGTCTATTTTCAAAGATCGGAGCCGAAATTCAACGTGGCAGAACACTAAATCAAAGTTTTTTTTATGAAAATACGTAGGTGCTTTTATGAATTTAAACTCGGTATTCTCAAAAATTGAAGAAATTCAACTCTCACGTATGGTTTCAGCAACTTCTATTCTATAAAATACAAGTCTATTTTTCACAGATAGGAACCAAAATTCAGTTCGGCGAAACAGAAAAATCAATTTTCTATGAAAATGCCTTATTTTTTTAATATTAACCAGGTTCGTTCTTCCGGTATACAGCAAGTTCCATTCTATAAAATCCAAGCACAAATTTCAAACGATTGAACCGAAATACAACCTGGCTTCAAACAAATCTACCATCACGTATGAACTCACAAAGGCCTGTTTTTCAAAGGACGGAGCCAAAATACAACTTGGCTGATCAAGAAACCCAAATTGCTATAAAAATACGTACTTTTATGGATGTAAACCCAGTTTTCTCAACAATTGTGCTGGCTTAAAAAAATCAACCATCAGGTATGAACACACGAAGGTCCATTTCTTTAAAATATCAGCTTCAAAGGATGTGAATCTACGCGGAATCTACGTTAAAAGTTAGTTAAATCTCTTCAGGAAAGCTCAGACTAACATTAAATATAATTCAATCACTCAACAGAAAAGTTTGGACTTCCTGAGATAGGTATTGAACTTGAACCACTTTTGAAAAAGTTGGACTCCGTTTGAAAAATTTAAGCTCAAAAAAGTTGACTTCGAAAAACTTTCTACACTTTTAGGAAAGCTAGATGACCTAAGCAAGATTGAGTCCTTGTCAAATGCCAAAGCAGTTAAGAAAAATCTGGAGCTCACTTAGGAAAATGTCAAACCCGCTCTGACAAGTTTGGTTTCAGTTCGGAAAACGTTGAATCAATGCAGGAGACCTTGGATTCATCTAGGAAAGGGATTAAATCAGCTAATGTTGCATCACTTCAGAAAATGCGAAACCAATTCTTTAAAGCTTGGATTCGGGATATGTTGAATCACTTCAGGAAAACTTTGACAACTTTTTTTTTTCCTTGGTTTGTTTTCCGTCGATCTTGTTTTCCGTGCTGAGCACCAATGCTACCGACGCCAGGGAGGCAGCTCCCACACCTGGACCCTACCTATCGACCCATCAACTCATGAACCGGGGACCAACGGCTTTACTTCCCGTGATCAGAGATGTTATACCTCAGAACATCCCGGAGGTGCCGACTGGGATTGAACCCAGAGGTAATCACGCTTACCACTACACCACCGGCGCCGCTTTTGACAACTTTAAAAAGGATTGAATAACATAGCAGAAAATTTAGACTCAGTTAGGAAAATGTTGATGACTTATTCGAAAGTTTGAACTCACTTCAAAAAAGTTCAGACTCAGTTTTGAATCTACTTTGAAAAGTGAAACCTCAGTTAGGAAACTCCTGACTCGTTTCTGATTTGGTCTCACTTCTAAAATTTTTAAACCAAATTTGAAAAGATTGGATTTAGCTCGGAAATTGTTGAATCATTGTAGAAAAGAATTGAATCATTACGTAGCATTTGAGTAAACTTCTGTTCATCCAAAACAAGTTATACAAAGATTATATAAACTATAATATAACATTTGTGTTGCTTGGGCAGAGTACGGCAGTGTGAACATTGAACAGAACTTGAAATTGAGCGAAGGGTAATTAATGCGACAGTACTAATTGGCAAATCAAAGTTAGCCCCGTTGCAGAATAGAAGAACTATGAAAGTGACGATGGTTACAAAATTTTGCACAATATGAGTGCAATCTTAAAATGCATTTATTTTGCGAACAAATTATTTTAATAAAATCTGGTTGCTGCTGCGTTAGTAGACAACTTAAGGCTTATCAATAGACATACAATATAGAAAAATTAATATCTGATCAGATTTTTAGATTTCAGCTTTCAACCATCAACCTCTTCTTGTTACTTTTACATTTGCATATTATGATTCAATAATACCGTTACACTTTTTTGTATGCCAAATGAATGGAAGTAGCTTTGGAGCTATTAATTAAGAGTCTGACAATAGACTTTTAAAATACTGTGCATCGCTAAGTTAATATACAGACACACTGCGCAGCTACGTCTCTATAATTGACATAAAAGTTCATTACGATAGCATCTGAAGACTGATCAATTAAACGATATTACTCCGCGTTTTATTGTCTGTCATTGCCAAGTACTGGAACGCCATAGACATACAGCTCGCTGGTATGTAATCCAGTGCGTGTTCGGACTGTGGAACCTCATTCAAGCCTTTACATTAATATTACCCGGGTGGTTGCTTACATTCTTAAATGTTGAAGCATAACAGTGTTACGAATAAAAAAAATAGAATGAATTTTTCAAGTTTGTAGGTTGTTAGTTAGGGCTAAAGTTAGAAAAATATATCAGAGTTGGTTGGAAATGCTAACATGAAGCTTTAGTGTGATGATGATTTATTAGCTAGAGAATGATCTTTAGAAGAGGGTAGGTGGATAGTTCCGTTAGAGTACGGCAGTATGAAAATTGAATAGAAGTTGAAAATGAGCGAAGGGCCATTAATGCGACAGTTTTGAAAGATAGACGCACATTTTTGCCTAACCCGTACGATGTACGCGGGGACTTGAAGTATGTCTCCAAGTCCACAGGCAAAAATGTGCGTCCCTCTTTTTGCTCATAAACTGACTGCGGCTGTGGAATAGTTCTGAAAATCGTTAACTTCGCGTATGAAGTAACATAAAAAACACTTTGAAAGAAAAATATATGTTTGTATAGTCATATTTTATAAAAAAAATCTCAACGAATTTCAGTAAATCACCATGTGTATATGTTTCGAAAGCTCTGTCTTTTTACTCTCCAAAACCTATTAAAATAAAAAAAATCAGTTGAAAATGATAGAGTTACTCTTGATAGTATGCGGTCGCTTTCCCAAAATCGGTTTTGTAACAATAACGTTAAATTTTGGGGGTGTTAGAATAATTGCAAATGTGATTTCATGGTGTACTCGACTAGACTAATACCCCGTACAGACTATGGCTTATATCATGTAACATAGACTGTTTTGCAATGAGCACTCATACATCTAGTTTTCAGTGAAAATCCTACGTATGATTGCTCATCGCAAGACAGCCTATATTACATGATATAAGCCATAGTCTGTACGGGGTGTATAACAGCCTACAATAGGTCACCAGAAAATTTTTATTGTCGTGTAACACCGTGTAATTGACGAACCTTTTAATCCTATGATTCGTTGCCAGTTTTTGAAGAATCTGTATCTCTTTTGACAACATTGTTTTGGCCTTCATTTCAGATCATGGAAATCTCTGGAATACGTACGTCGAATTCACACCGTCAGTGGCAAACGAGCTAACGCGAAGGACTCGAGGATGCTCGTTTCCCAAAAGGACGTCGCCATTACACAGTTTGGTTTTGTGGGGTAAATTCAAACAATGTTTTTTTTAAATTATTTTTATCAAGTCTTACCAATCATCTACTCACAGATACGTTGTACTGAGCCACCGAAAACTCGGCGTTCAATACAGCCGAGAAGGCATGGAAGGATTCATTCATCTGTGGCGAACTATTGGCTTCATGCTGGGACTGGAGGACCGGTGAGTACCACCACGTTCAGTCGAATTTATGTTTCTGACCTTAACATCCTTAGATTCAACCTGTGCACCGATGAGCTCAACGCTTCCTACCAAAGAATGATGCTGGTAAACGACCACTTTATGCGTCCCGGGTTGCAGAACCCTAGCGCCGAGTTCACCCATATGACCCGAGCCATGATCGATGGGATGTGGTGCTACAGTACGTTATTGGAGTATGATGCGTTCATGTTTCTCACCAGGCGTCTGTCGAGTGTTCCCGGTCACTACTACTGGTCCGTTGAACCTCGAGATGGCACCAGGCCTGTTTATAAGGACCTAGGTTGGTTTAGCCGGGTGATGCTGTTTGTACTTATGACGATCCACGAAGTTCTACTGAATATTACCGTGCTACGATTGTACAGCAATTGGATGTTCCGATTCAATACGAACGTAGTTAATAAGTACTTCCCCGTGTTGGCAATGGTGAAGCATGGTTTAAGGAAAGCCTATGTGAAAATTGTTTATTGAAGGAAAATAAATGTAAGGTTTGAGTAAGATTTCGTGCATAAACTGCAGATCAGATTGAGTGGAATCTGTGAACAAATCGTGATCAAGAATGATCTGAAGCTGAAGCACTTTTAGCGGCCACTTTAATAGAGTCTGATGGTGGATATGCCTTATTCTTCAAGAATTACAGAAACTCCTTCCTCAGATCTGAACTTCACTGGAGGTTTGATTGATTTAGTTTTGTTTGCAGTTTCATTAATTGCACAGCTGAATTTTCGCTAATAACTTGATCAAAATTAGCACATTCCTTCCAGCCTTCTTCCCTTAACTTCAGCGCAGTGTAGAGTAGTTCAGAGGTTGTGTGTTATGCTCATACATTCTCCAAAACAAAACATAACGAAAACAGGTAAGTTTTTATCTGTTATACAACTACCTTTTGGTTCGAATTGATAATTCTGCGGAGGACACCGATGGCCGGTCAATTTTCTTTTTGTTGTCTGCTTCAACCATTCAGCGTGTTGCGATAAATAGGCGCCGAGCTTACGGTTACATTGGTCCCATTTTTAAATCAGTGTAATGCTAAATCGCAAATCGCTACTTGAAACACTTGCATAGGCTTTATCAAATTTCGCAATAGACCATTTATCACCTATTTGATCTAAGAAAATGTTTAGTATTTTTGCTTTTTGAACATCTCGTGGTTCCGAAATAGTTTCTCGAATGACGTTGAACCACAGAGAACAGACGTTCAACTGCAGTCAGAAACTTCTGTAAAGGGTAGGGGTTAAAATTGCCGTTACGGCCGCTAGAATTTTCTGATTTCCTCTATAAATTTGGCATCAATGACCAATTTGTCAATAAATACTATTGCCCAATTGGTCATTGAAGGCGAATCAATTTTCTGTTAAAAATTGCCACTGACAGCACTGCCATTTGGTGAATTTTCACTTAAATTTGTCAGATGGAAATTTTTCAAATAAACCTGCTATTCTTAGCTGCATACAGCTGTCGTGACCGGACCGAGGTTTCCAGCCTCGGACACGGCTACACGAATTAGCGATGCAGCTCCCACGGGTGCGGCTTTTTCTATTGCTGTTCCTGCCAGAGCTGGTAAATATCACGGCCATCATATGACGACGAGTAAACAGGTCCTCTCACTATCACGGTATGAAACCGACATGACACTTAATTCTGACTTATGCCCGAAAATCGTAAACGGCCGATTTAAATGTGCAGTGATCCGAACTATCAAAACTATAGGAATTTTTGATCTAGATAAAAATGATATGTCCAGAATAGATCAGATACTTATCAATTCATAACTTATGCATGTGGGTTCATGGCTTAGCTAAATATTTCCCCCGAACACGGAGCCAGATGTCAGTAGTGCGCTTTGGTCAGAAATTTTATTGTTTTGCTATGGTCAGTCATGTCGGTTTGTCGGTGATGAAACTACCTATCATTAGCTTTCTTGTCATTTTTCAATAATCAATCTGTCATGAGAATAATTCTTCTGCAGTTTTGACATCAACATTACTATATGATTTAGATAAATTTAAGCAAACAACCGTATGTAATCGGTAGAGTGAATATATTATTAAGATTTTCTCGGTACAAGTAACTTTAATAACATAAAATGAGCTAGTAATTACGATGATCACAACACTGTCACGTTCTGTCATGAAAATCAGCTTGCTGTCTAGTGTTAAGCCGAGGTAGACTACCTCTTTCGACCATTCCAACACTGTGCCGTTCAGGCAGATCTTATTATTCTCCGACGGAACAAGTCTGGGAGATTTTGAGTGTGGAAAGATGATGACCTGGGGCTTTGCCGCGTTGATACGGATCTTCCAGCTGTTGAAATATTCAGACAGGACGTCCAGGCTTCTCTGCAGTTTGGCAGTCAGAGCTCCGATGACCCTACCCTTGTAGACGATGGATGTGTCATTAGCGAACAGAGACAACGGTCCACCATCAGGGAGAGCCGGCATATCGGAGGTGAACAGGTTGAATAAAATGGGGCCAAGGATGCTTCCTTGTGGAACCCCGGCACCGATGTTGAAAGCATCCGATGTGATGCCATTCAGAAAGACGCGGAACGTCCTGTCCGATCGATAGTTATTCATTATCTTCACTAGAAAGATTGGAAGACCATACTGCTGCAATTTGAACACCAGGCCATCATGCCAGACATTGTCGAACGCTTTTTCAACGTCCAACAACGCCATGGCAGATGTTTTCGACACGGACTTGTTCCGTCTGAGAATGTTTGTTACTCGAGTCAGCTGGTGGACGGTCGAACGACCTTTCCGAAAACCAAACTGTTCCTCGAGTAACAAGTTGTTTTCTCCGGCACATGTTAGAAGCCGGTGATAGACTGCTCTTTCGAACAGTTTTGATAACCATGAGAGAAGGCTGATTGGTCGATAACTTGAAGGAGAGGACGGATCCTTCCCAGGCTCCCGGATGGGTATGACTTTAGCTGACTTTCAACACGAGTGGAAGTATCCAAGTCGGAGGCACATATTAAAAATTACAACACGAGCCAATTCGAGCAATCAGCCGGCAATTCAACAACTTCTTTTATATGTTCGACGTGTTTCGTCATCGGTTACTTGGACTTTTTCGTACCGTCGTCGCAGCCTACTACTTCCTGAAGCTATTCCTAAAAAGCTCATCTAGCTTGTCTCTACTGCTGCCGCTGCTTGGTATTAGAAAGGTAGGCAGTGAATTTAGAAGAAATAAAATGCCAGAAATGCAACGAGTGACACTAGGTCGTATGAATAAAAGCGTTTACTTTACTTTTCCCGTAAGAAAAGCACGGGAAAGTAAAGTCAACTCTTTTTGTTCATACGGCCCACTGACTACATTTAACAAATCAGGCTATCAAAATATTTGTAGTGCATTGCTGATTTGTGGAGTGATGTTAAGCTAAAATAAGGCTTGTTCAATCTTTAGATCAATTCACTTATTGAGGTTGAATTATGGGGATACAATTAGCACAGCAATCATGTACTACTAATCAACTATATAGAGGAAATGGATGTAATGTCGGCCTAAATGCCCCTAATTTGGGCCCATACATAAATTCAGGAATTAAATAAATTTTCAATAGCGACCAAAAATATCCATTAGTACCGTCCTAATGACGCGTTCATCTAGATAAAATTGATAAATAGCTGATTTTTAGCGATGGGCTCAATCTTAGATCCATAGGCCAACATTAAAATCATTTACCCTATTCAGCATGCCGTTAATCAGCTTTGTACACCTTAAAACAACCAATAATCAGCTTCTGCTCTTACTGTTCAGCTTGAATTGTTACTTGGGTATGCTTGATGCCTGTGAATCAGGGACTGCCGGTACGAATCTCGAAATGCAAAGTTAATTTGTAGACTTATAATAACAATATAAGAATGTAAATCCAATTAACCACTGAAATGACCGATGTAAAGGAGCGAACGTAAAACACCACTTCATTCGAGCACTTAAAATGACGTTTACTACCACTCGAACTTTGAAATAAAACATTATTTTGAGATTTTTTCTTCTAGAACCTCGAGAAAAGTAGCCAACATTTGTGCGTTTCATTAGTTGGTCCAGTTTTGTGAAATTGCTGGTAGAAAGTCACGCCAAAATTGTTTGACAAAGTGGTCAATTAGTCAGCACCTTGTTGCAGTCCCATAAAAAAATATAAGATATGAAGCGGTTGGAAAAGACTGTTATTTAATGCCTTAAAAAGCTTATAATTTATATACTGCTAAGCTTTTGGCAGAGTGAAATCACCAGATTTAGATGTTTAAAAGCTGAACAAATGTTAACTTGGTCTATGTACAACAATTATTCAAACTAAGGCTGAATTATAATCGATTGAACAACACTTGTTAAGCATCAAATTATTAGCTGGGTTCTGATTTTTTAATTCCAAAATTGGATATTCTGAATTTTCTTCGTGGTATAATCGGTAAGTTGACATGTAAACTCACCCTACTCAACTCCCATCATTACTTACTGATTCGAGCACTGTTATAACCCACTTCAAATGTGTGCAAATTCAAATAAAAAATAGGGTTCCTAATGAAACGTTTCAAAACTACTGATCGTAATTAAAAAAAAACGATTTATTTAGGAAATCAAATGAGTTGCAGAAATTCGAAGAAATCTTTAATCTAAAGAAACCTACCAAACAGCTTCTTTGAGTGTATATTGATAAACGAAGCGAGGGTGCCTGATAAAGGTTCATGTGTTGCTTTTGTTTTGAGTTGTCTTTCTTGGTAGATTAACCAGCACACGAATTAAGCTATGGTTGGTTCGTGTTTTGAGCTGATAGCATAATAGTAGTACACTTTTTGCGATATGCTTAGTACGAAACATCCAGGGACTGATTGCAGTCCAAAAATCAATTTGCACGTAAAACCGAAACCCATTTCAGATGGCAACAGGTGAATAGCGAAATCCTTGAACCAATCATTTAAGCACATATAATAAGGGCTTATTTTAGATCCGGATAAAGACTACATTACACTTCTACTCAGCGATGGAGTTAGTACACCGGTAGAAAAAGTTACCGATTCATGCAAGCTGCATCTACCGGATTGGTTCGATGAGGCAAAATTCAAACGGTGAGTGTTCAGCACCTGCTGTCGTATTCAAACCTCATTCATCATGTCGGAAACAATTTCAGTGCCCAACAATTCTACCGCCGGAATGTGTATGCCATAGTGATAGCCGTACTGTACGGGGCGGTTGCCGTGATGGCACTGCCGTCGGTTCTAAACGTGTTGATGTTCACCAAGCGATCGTCGAGTGTTCTCACGGCGTACCGGCGTTACATGGCTACGATTTTGTATTTTGTAGGCTGGTACACGGAGGATCTGAAACCGGGAACGAGGTTTGTGCTGAACACAGAAGAAAAAGCGTCTCGTGTTGCAATTATCAGAACTGAGTTTTGATTTATTTTCCAGAGTCTGGAAATCAATTGAAAGTGTGAGAAGAGCTCATTCGAGTACTAGTAAGCGAACGAACTTGAAGATACCTGGTATGACGATCTCTCAGCGCGATATGGTGGTGGTGCAGTACTCCTTTGTAGGGTGAGTCGACAGGTGTCGTGACGTGACTTAATCGATAGATCGATGATGGATTGCTCGGTATAAACTTTCAACCCTTGATTTGGCTATACTTTCAGCTACTGTGCACTAAGCCCACGAATGCTGGGACTCCAATACAGCACCGCAGACATGGAAGCATTCATCCATTTCTGGCGTGTCATCGGATACATGTTGGGAATAGAAGATAGGTAAATAGAAGAATCGCTTCTTTCACACAAACTGACCCATATTCACAGGTACCATCCTTCAGGTTCAACTGCTGCACTGCTGACCCCTCGTCATCTCGAATCCGGATGCAGCAAATCCAAGACCAATTGTTCTTGCCGGCACTCAGCAAGGTTGGGGAAGATTTTCACCGGATGTCCAAATACATGCTCGATGGCATGTGGTATTTCAACGTGTTCCTCAACCCAGATGCGATACTGTACATGACCTATCGGTTGAATGGAGTGCCCGGATATGGTTATCCTGACAAACTGCTGGGACGATCACAGTGCGCAGCATATGAAAAGCTTAGTTGGTACAGTCGGGCGATTCTTTGGATACTGGTAAAGACACATGATGTTAACTTGAGCATTGCTCCACTTCGGTGGTTTCATAATGCCCTGGTTTCCATTTCGGTGAATATTGGAATTCCATATTTTCCACTGCCAGCAATTGTCCGATTTGGCTACAAGAATGCAGTTGTCAGAATATAAATCAAATAAAAGGACATGTGATAGATGACCTACGAACACCCAAACGCATATTCCTACACAATTTCATTATCCTAGTTTTATTGTAATCGCTTCATTTCCATAGCAATGGGCTTTGTCATACATTTTCAATTCCATGTTCTCTAAAAGCAACCATTCCTATTAATCCTACACTGCCGCTTCGTTTTGGTGAACGTTATAAATCCCTGCGCATTAAAACCATCGTTCGATCGTGTGCTTGTAATTCGCCTAAAAACCTTTAACTTGAGCGTCAACTTGGAGCTTCAACAAATTTGGAATGTTTTCCAACGTTAGGTTTTGTTTTGTTGTTTAGATTTGACTACACCGACTACATCTTGCTATATACCGAACAAAAAACAACACATTGAATTACGCACAGTAATCCGGTACGGTTCTGTTGTTTATGTTTTAGTTTGTTTTACCCTAAATAGTAAATTGTTATACAAACATTCAGTTGATTTCCGTATTTGTATGTTAAAAGGCTTACTGTTTAATCCAAGCTCTTTGGACTGCGGGTTAGGATATTGATTCGTTTAGATGCGTCGACGAGCAGGATCCGTTGGTTGAACCGTTTCGTCTGATTTATAGGAATACGTGTATGCTGTTCTGATAGGTAAATTTGTATCAAAACACTGTTCATTCGAAGCTGAGTACGGATATAAACACTAAATAGGTCCTCTAGGGTATAACGGTTAGGGGACAGATGGGTTAGTACTGGGTGCACAGAGTTCAATAGGCAAACTCTTCTTTAGTATTACTGGTTCTGATTATGAGTCGAACAAAGCTTTGATAGGTTTCAATGAGATGGCAGAGAAGCGAAAGTATCGTAGTAGATTCGATTTGATATAGTGTCAATAGTGAATCATAGTTTAGGACCTTTAATTTTACTTTTCATAAATAATGTATGATATTCATTATCGTAAATGAACAGTCTATTGCAGAATGATGAATTTAAAATTATTTGAACGTTTCTCGTCAACCATGGATTGAAATCATCGGTAGAGGTGTTAGCCACAGTGTTCCATCTATACATTAAGCCATTTCATGACAGTGGTTTCCAAAGTTTATTCGTACAAGTATGAATACCTACTCAAGATGGTTCCTGGGGTTTGAATCAGTCAAAGTAAAAAAACGGTTATAGCAGCTTGAAAGGGCCTCCTAAGGGATCTACAGCATTTAAGGAAGGTGTTATAGTGAGTCGTCAATGGTGTTGTAAAATGTAAAATTAAGATGAGTCAAATTATCTAGCGCAATCGACCCAAACTCAGGCACTTTCTCAAGATAATGCCGCATAAACATACAACCCAACTAAACCAAATTTCGCTGCCGAACAGCTGGTATAGACAAAAATTTGGTTACACAGCTTATGTTTGCCTGTATAAGCTGTTGTTTTTTGGGAACATAACGACGGCAGACTTCCAAGTCTTGAAATCATCGTTCCAGTCTGAATCGGAACACCCAACCAGTTTTTCTATTGGATCTAGAGGCGTAGTGAGAGTTTACTACTATCCTAAATGAAAAATCAAGTTCCACGTTTTGACGGCGCCGGTTGTAATGTGGTAAGCGTGATTGCTTTCTCATCCCAGTGGTTTTGGGTTCAATCCCAGCCGAGGGTCGTTGATATATTCTGAGTAAAAAAATCTCTGATCACATCGAAAGGAAAGTAAATCCGTTGGTTCTGGCTCATCAACACATGGGTTCGATATGTAGGGTTCAGGTGGAGGTGATTGTTGGTTACGTGGCGGAACGGATACTGATCGAAAATAAATTTAAAAAAGTGACAAGTTTCTAAATACAAGGGGAAACATATCCACAATAATTCTTCACGTCCAGCATTATAAGTTTAAAATAATTTCAGAACATAATTTTATGTCTAATTCTGCTTACTCAAAAAAAAAAAAAAAAAAGAAACGTCTCAGAGTGGAAACTGCCTAATATCATACGGATTCTGACCCATATAACATTGCAAGTTTTATTGAGGTTTTAAAGCATTCTTCAAGTCTAAATCATGGTAAACAGAACCCTCATAAAAATCAAAATTGTTACTTTGATGATACAACGCACATTTTCCAAAATTATCAAATTTCATTAAAGGCCATCCACATTACATCCGGATATGATGCGTTGCGACAAAGTGAAAGCTAAATCTATTGTCTAACTGTCAAACTATCGCCAACGCAACGCAAACGCATCAAATGTGGGTGGCCCTTTAGATTTCAAAGTCCCAAAAATATAATTTTTTTAAACATCGCGATCCCTAATATTTTTTGAAATTCCGAAAAATGTGGAATTTGTGAATGTTTTTGTTTGTCTCAGAATCACACGTGTTTCTCCTTCTTGCTGATACGTATTGAATTTTAATCTATGCCCAGCATATCGAAAACCTTTTTCAAGCCGAGAAGGGAAAACTCCTTGACGATTATGGCCTTAGTTTGACCAGAAAATCATCACTACCTAGCCTATTCAATTTATAAAACTCTCTAATTCATTTGGCACCAAAAATTGATGCAGCCACTCTTGAAAATCGCTTCCGACGAAGAGCGCTTTACTGCGGGTGGTAACGAGTTGTAGTTTACCACACCTCGAACGAACAGTGAACTGGCGTAACCTGCGGTGTTTTTAGCTGGTATTACTAGGTTCTGCAAGCGACGACCTCGAGCTAGGATGAGTCTGCCATGAAGTATAGCTGGGGACTGTGTTGATAGCAGTTTTCTCAGGAAAATGCAGGAGCGATATGCGTAGAAGTTTTGTAACGAACATCCAATGAGGTTCTGTTGCAGGTGACTCACATGGTCGTAGCGGCTCAATCCATAGACGTATCTCACTGCTGTAGTTTAGCGCCACACGTAATCGGTCGAAGCAGCTTGCACTAGGACGGATATGTAGAACATCGCCGAACAAGAAATGTGGTAGGATCAAGGATTTGAAGAGTTTCAATCTGGTCTCAGTCGGCGCGGTGGAGGTACAGCAGTATAGCGAGCGAAGACAAGCATAGATCTTTCCACACTGTTGCGTTATCATGCCATCCCACTGTAGATCACTTTGGAAGATGAACCCTAGGTTGCTCGCACTTTCCGACCATCCGATGCTCTGACCGTCCATCACAATTCCCGGTACGGGTGGAACTCTTTGCTGGATTCACGTGAAGGTCGTTTCGCCGCGACGTTCGAGATCTGCATTCACCATCCTGACCAACTCACGAGCACAAGGACCGAGACGTAAAGTTCCACATCATCGGCAAAAATCTGAATAGAACAGAACTGCAGCACCGTCGGTAGGTCGTTAATATGGCAGCAGAAAAGTAGAGGACCAAGCACTGAGCCTTGAGGTACGCCGGACGGCACCTCGGCGCTGCTGGAACAGCGATCACCACAGAATACCGTCTGTCTTCTTCCACGAAGGTACGACTCCATCAGGTTTACAGCACCAAAGGAAAAGTTGAACTGTACTTCCAGCTTTGCTAATAGTTTGCTATGAGGGATAGTATCGAAAGCCTTGGAGAAGTCCAGAAGTAGCAGTATACCAGCACATTTTTTTTTTTTTTATCAACGATGGCTCCTAAGTCGTCGTGCACTCGAAGAACCGCAGTTTTGATACTCTGGCCTCCATGGAAACCAGCCTGACAGTCAGCCAGCAGGTTGTTACCTTCGATGTACAAGGACATTTGCTGTTTGAGAAGCTTCTCAAAAACCTTCGACAACGCGCAAAGTATGCTGTTTGGGCGCAGATTGGTAATATCGTTTAAACGCGCTTTCTTTTTCAGAGGCAAAATTTTTACGTGCTTCCAGCAATCGGGAAAGGTAGATGTTTCTATGAACATGTTGAACAGATGAGTAATGTGTTGCATGACAAACGGTAGGATGATCTTAACGAAGGTAATCGGTAAACCGTCCATCCTAATAGCGTTTGATTTAATATCCCAGATAGCATTGACAACTTCCCAGTACCGCACAGGTTGGAAAGAGAAGCTATACGGTGAAGGAGGTGCTGATCTCGAAGCTCTTGCTACTCGGGTGCTGTTTGTAAAGTTGGCTGCGAATGTTTGATTCACTTCGTCCGGATCAAACTCACATGGAGGTGACGATTTATCCTTAAACTACTGGATATATGGTAAATTTTACGTGACATTCCGTTTTGTTTAAAATGCTTTTAATGTAATTTGTACGTGAATTTTTAATGAGAACAATAAGAAGTATATATAGAAGCAGTCAATATTATGCAATTTTATCGGGAAGATATAAATTTCAAGTGTTTAAATTAATATTTATTCTACTCATAAAATTGTAAATATTGACTAATTGATTATTGTAAGGTAGAAACGTGTATGAGTTTTTTTTTAATTCTGACAAAATATTAACACCTGCTGATGCCATCGTCTGAAACTACTACTAGAAAAAGGCTACATATAATCATAAATTTATTAATGTAAATCTAATTACCGTCCAACTGCTGAGAACTTTTGAATCTTTGAGGATTTCTTCCACCCCACTCGGTGACGCCATATTGTTTTTTTTTTTGCATACCTGAAAATCACGTAAATCTCGTTTCGCGGAAATATCGAAGTCCCAAACACACAAATCTGTTTACGTGAATATACGGTCAATTTCACCAACATTTTCAGTGGACATGACATGTAATGCAGGTCAAAGTTACTAACGTTACGTAACATTTGAGATTTTCTAAATACAGATCAGGTGCGTGATATTTCACGTAAATCGGACGTGAAGATTTTTTAGAGTGTACAATTGCAATAAGGGCCCGATTTTGGAAATACATCTTTTTTTTAATTTGTCTTTAACTTTCCACAAATTTTCTTTATTGTAAACCTGATTATCTGAACAGCTCCAAAACCTCGCAAAATCTATAAAAATATAAATACATTGAATAGAGTGAAGTTCTTCAAAGTGCAGAGTGTATGCAAATTAATGATTATCGAAACGTGATGCCAAAACCGGACCCTTACTGTATTATTATTCCTTAGGAATTCTCCTCAGCCATTCCATAATCAACATACAAAA